TTCACTTCTGAGTAGGGACATATGCATAACTAATAACAGTGGTCATTCTTTTATTTTTTTTTTTTTATTTTTCTAATGAAATGTGCAATTAGATCTCTGAAGAACATAACTTTTGCACAAATATGTATAAAAATCTTCCTTTTGATCCTTTGTTATTTACATTTTTCCAGAAACCACAAGCTGTTATCTCTGTGTTTTGRCTTCTTTAGGTGGTTAACAAGCCAGACAGCCATGGTGGAGGTCTGGACTGGACAAAGATCTGTGAGAAATCGTCAAAGGTCATCACCTTTATTGACCTGGCCGGTCATGAGAAATATCTAAAGACTACTGTCTTTGGCATGACGGGACACCTACCTGATTTCTGCATGCTAATGGTGAGACGAGGAGGCAAGACAAGCTTTAGTTATTAGTCAGTAGTACAGATCTTTTTTTTAATGCAAAACTTTTAAGTTGTGAGTGTAGCAAGAAGTAAAATTATATTGTTTTTATGTTTCATTTCTACTGCTTCTTACTCCTCGTTTTTTTTTCATACCTTCTCTTAGGTTGGCAGTAATGCTGGTATAGTGGGCATGACCAAAGAGCATCTTGGTCTGGCTTTAGCCCTAAATGTGCCAGTATTTGTGGTGGTTACTAAGATAGATATGTGTCCAGCTAACATCTTGCAAGGTAATCAGACTTCTACTAAAATTCTTATTTAAAATACAGACTTGTGAGATTTGAAACTAAAAACTGTTTCCTTTAGTAGCATACTTTGCAAATGACTACATTTTCACACAAAAGACAGTGAGAATATGTCAGTATTTGTTTGTCTGTTTGTTTGTTTTCTACAGAGACGTTGAAATTATTACAGAGGTTATTAAAGTCACCAGGTTGCAGGAAAATCCCAGTTCTGGTTCAAAACAAGGATGATGTCATCGTCACAGCCTCCAACTTCAGCTCAGAGAGGTAAGAACAATAAGTGCTCTTGTGAGTATTTAGAAAAAAGAAAACATTCTCAAACAAAAAAAAAATCTAAAGTTTGCTTAAAATTAAGACTTTAGAGTTTCTGAGAGGTCACGCATGGTCATTAATCAGTAGCATTCTTGAACCTGGATGGTCCTGTATTGGAAACCCATTTACAGTTTTTTTTCTAGTAGCTTTGGTACATTTCTCAAATCATTTTTGACATTTGCAAAACAATAAGTGCATTCTCAAAACAATTCATACAAATAGCAAACCATCATAGATTAGCTGCAAAAGCCAGTTTCTTGCTCAAAATCCTTAGTTCATCTTTCAAAACTGAATTTCGTCAATGAACGTGTCAGTGCCATCACTGATCATCACTAAAATTATCTTTTCATATTGTCAATATAACAGGAGGATATGCTGAAGTAAACTATAGCTGCATTTTTGATGACGAATATTGTAAATAGTAATTGTGTAAGACTGGACAGGATTCACATTTATTTTTTTACCGTTTGTACTGTAATGAGTTGACAGACCATTGTTTTACAAAATACAGCACTGCAGAGCACAAAGAATAACAAATGTAGAAATGTGAACATAGGACAGTCTCCTTAAGGAAATCTGGACATTACAGTGCTGTYTTCCTATGCCTCCTGATGTTCTCGTTGTTGAACCACAAATTCTCCTTCACATCACAACAAATATACCATACCAACTTAAACAACCATAGAACCAAAGTGCTGCACTTTCACAGTCAACATAGTAAAACACAACAACAATCACAAGAAAAGCATAAACAGTAAAATTTCACCAATTAAAACAAATTAAAATAGCCTCAAATCAAACTAAAAGTCAACATCTCTGATGATGCCAAAAAGCCAAGGAGAAGAGATGGGTTTTAATAAGTGTTTTAAAAGCCGTTGGGGAAGTGGCTTTGTCTGGAGCGATGGAAACTGACATTGTCTCAAACTATCATGTACTTTGACAAGTCTTCTCCAGTCTGAACCCTCTCTTGTTCAGGGATGAGATCCCTGCAGAGAGGGTCTAAAAAGGAGACAAGATCCTCTCAGTTGTATGTATAAAGGTCAGCCATCACTGCGGAGAAATTTACCAATTCAGACTGGTATTGGAAAAAAAAAAGTCCTAGAAAGTTGACATGCTGTATAAGAGAACCATGTTGCATGTAAAGACTAAAGCAATGAACTAATGCCTAAATGTTTTGGGGGGGTGACATCATTCAACAGACGTATAATGTGTTTTGATCAACATGACAGAAGMGATTGATAATGAAGGAAACATCAGAGCATTGTACAGAATCATYTGCATKGATGCACCAAAGYRTTTGACACTTGCTCAAAGGAATGAGAAATTGCTTTTTTGGTGTGCACAAGTGAAAGAACTGAGTAGTTTTGAGAATTTAAGTTCTAAACTTGAGTATGTACCAAAGCAAATAAGAAAAACTGAAAGTGAAGCTGATGTTTATCAAAGTACCAAGTTGTAGTTTAAAAATTGTAWAAGAGGAAATGTTGTACTTTTTTTTTGTAATTAGTGTTGCTTAATAAAGAGCTTTTCTTTAACGATGCTGTTCTCCTCTGACTCCCTCCCACACTTTAGGATGTGTCCAATTTTCCAGATCTCAAATGTAACCGGAGAGAACATGGACCTGCTGAAGATGTTCTTGAATCTTCTCTCTCCTAGAACCACGTACAACAATGAYGAGCCTGCAGAGTTTCAAATAGACGACACATACTCAGTACCAGTAAGAAATGCAATTCACACTTAAGCCCCTTCTCCATGAGCACAGTTCTACTCTATTCATTTCAGTTCAGTTCTGTTCGGTTCGGTTCTGCTCAGGTTTTGATGTTGATCTCCTCTTGACAGGGTGTGGGCACAGTCGTTTCAGGCACTACGTTACGTGGATTGATACGACTAAACGACACGCTGCTTTTAGGCCCAGACCCACTCGGCGTCTTCATCCCCATCACTGTCAAGTCCATCCACCGCAAGAGGATGCCCGTCAAAGAGGTTCACGGAGGACAAACRGCATCATTTGCACTAAAAAAGGTTTTGTCATAAGAACATTTTGACACCATTGCAGCTACAAAAAGCATTTTACTGCTTATTAATTTAGGTTAAAGGTTTTTATCTTGAGATTTGGAGTACCATATTCATTTGAATTCTTTTTTTTTTCACATTCTGTTTTCACAGATCAAAAGAGCATCAATAAGAAAAGGAATGGTGATGGTCTCCCCAAAGCTGCAGCCTCTGGCCACCTGGGAATTTGAGGCTGAGATCTTAGTGCTGCATCATCCCACCACGATATCACCGAGATATCAGGCTATGGGTTAGTCACAACGTTATCGTTATGTTTAATAAAGTAAACACATGGATATTCAATCCACAGGTGAAACGTTGGGGCACAAGTAACTTTGGTTTTCTGGTTGGATCTTTTAGTGCACTGTGGCAGCATCAGGCAAACCGCCACCATCCTGTCAATGAACAAAGATTGTCTGAGGACAGGGGACAAGGCTTCAGTCCACTTTCGCTTCATTAAGACGCCCGAGTACCTGCACTGTGATCAGAAGCTTGTGTTCAGGGAGGGGCGTACCAAAGCCGTCGGCACCATCACTAAGGTACTAGAGCTTATGGATACTTCTCTTGTTCGCTTTCAGTCTGCAAAAGCTCAAGTCTTTGTCTGTTCAGATTAGCTGTGATTTAATTTTAGATTTAGCAGATGTAAGTAACCATGTTGACTCTCTCAGCTACTCCAATCAGTGAGCACCCAGGCTGCCAAGGCGCAGCTGTCCAAGTCTCAGGCTAACAAAAAGATTTTCGGCGAGGACGCCGCATCGGCAGCGCGGCCGCAAAGTCCAACCTCCCTGCAGTCATCAGTGAGTACAATGATGCTCACACACCCACGTTTTATTCAGATGATGAAGCAGAAACTGCTTGTTTTGGTCAAATTTTGTATTGGCATATTTTGGATGTTATACTTGTAAGAAAATGAATCAATGAAAAATATTTTTTAAATGTGCTTTGCCTTCTCTTAAATCTTGTGTTGTTCTAACCCCACTTTCCATCCCTTCATACCTCTTTGCCTTACATACACATTTCCCTTTTTTTGACTCACAATTGTTGTTGCTCTCCTCTGCATCTTCTGCTGTTTGCTTTTTGTGTTTTGAGCCTCTTTCACAAGACAGTTTCCGCGAAACGGCCACACAGACCGGTCCGACTTTAAGCTCCCTCGGGTCATTCATAAAATCACAGGAGAAGCCGGACAGGTCCCGCTCACATGTTCAGAAATAAACCCAGCAGCGCAGAACCAAAAGAGGTGTGGAGCAGATCTCTGCTCGGCTAAAGTGGACCGCTACTAGGCCTGTCACGATAACAAATTTTGCTGGGCGATAGTCTAAAAAATTATTGCGATAAGCGATAATATTGCCTGGTGACCGTTTTACAACTAATAATTATAAAAACGTAATATGTAAGTGTAATAAATCAATAAACTTTAATTTTTAAAGAATGTTTAACAAAATGGACTCAGTCTCTAACAAAAAAAATGCACTTAAATAAAAAAACAAAGAACAAAAAAAAGTAAATTAAACACAACACACAACTGAAACAGTAAATAAACAATATTAAAGAGCAGCATCTCTTTAGAGATGAAGCAAACTACACAGCCTGGTGAGGACCCACTGTTTCTTATGGGGACATAAACACCATTCACATCCTAAGTAAAGTTTAGGCTAGGTCAAATAGGTAATGGAAAATACCTGTAAATGAATGAAAGTCAATGCAAAGTCCCCATGAGGATAGAAGAACAAATGTGTCTATGTGTGTGTGTGAGGAGGGGTCAGTCAGTGAGGAGACAGTCAGAGCGCTGCGGGGGAGGAAATCAGACAGTTCGGAGTTTTCCTCATGAGTTGTTGGGACAGCTACAGGTTTTGTTTTTTTTTTTTTTGGGTGTTTTGTTAAAACACAGATGGTGCGTTTAAGTTTCCTGTTATTTTTGGGAGCTACAGGTAAAGTCTTGACCAGTTTGTCGTGGGTCTGGGGGAGTTTCAGCCCCCACCCCTTCTCCTCCTCTCTCTTTCTCTCTCTCTGTCTCCCCGCAGTGAATTTTAGACTCTGCAATTGCTCCGACACTGCAACAGCCGCGTTCTGCTTTGAAACCAATTCCATCTCCATTTTTCAGAATCCCATCAAAGCTTCTTTAGTTTGTTATTGCTACGAGCTCTCATGCTAACGTGAGAGTTCACTCCTCCTGACACTAAGAAAACAGGAGGGGGGGAGTCAGCTGAGCTCCTGTGTAGCGGAGCACAGAGAGGGAGAGCGACTAAGTAAATGAACAAGCAGGAAAATGAAACTTATCGTCCTCATTTTTTTACCGACCTCAAAAAAATTTATCGTGCAATTAATTCATTTATTGACTATCGCGACAGGCCTAACCGCTACGTTTTTATTGTGTGACGGGCGCCTGCTGCATCGTATCAAACAAAAAACAATGTACTTTAGCGATCCTGTGGTTCAATATTTTCTAAAATAGCTACAAAGTTGCTGTTCTGTGTCGTCTTTAATAGTCCCTCAGTGATAAATCTGTTGATTAATCCTGCATTCACTCACTGAAGTTTTCCTCGTGGAAAAAAAAACCTGAATTAACTTGTTTTAGCGATTCTGTGGTTGCATATTTTTTTAAACTAACTATACAAAGTTGTTGTTTTTCGTCATCTTTAGTATTCCCTAATAAATCTGTTTGTTGATTAATGCTCACTGATGTCATCAGCTCAAGATCATTTTCTGGCGTGGAACCGCATATTGCTTTTTCACAAGCCCGTCTTGGGCCTGGATCTGATACTACCTCATTTAGCAGCCCAGAGGGGCATCAGAGGCGGGCTCACTTTACTCGCCTTTCCACCTTCGTGTTTTCTCTGAATGCTCGGAGGAGAACAGAACACGCATCAGTCCTGGACTGAGCTGTCTTATGAATGAGGCTTTGGCTACCATCTCTCTTCCTCCCTCCCTGTCTTGGCATGCTGCRTTAGACAGTGGCAGAGGAGGAGGAGGAGAAGGAGGATCTTTGTAAAGATGACAACAAAGAAAACAAGGTTAAAAAAACAGTGGCTGCAGGGGCCATAATGGAGGTTCCTTCAGCTTGGGCTTTGCTCTGTTTTTTCTCCACTTTTCCAAACTTGTTTTTCTGAAAATGTTTCGCTCACAAGCACAAGGCCCCACTTCACTACTCTTATTGAGCATATTTTTTTTCTAATAACTTGGTTGCTACTTGCTCAACAGGAATATTTTTAAATAGTTTTGGAACTACAGTATTTATGTTTTTAAGGAATAGTGTTTTCCCAATTTTGAAAATATCCTGTTGATTAAAAGTTTTTATTTATTTTTTTTTTGTGTGTGTTAGTTTGGCACTTTGGATATATTCATGTAGTGATTTTATCTTTCAATTATGTTTCTGCTTGGTACATGAAAACAGAGCCAAAACATTTATTAAAGCAGAACATTGTCCTAACTTAAAATATTCAACAAAAAATTATTATGTGTATCCAGAATGTTTAAAGTGTTTTAAAATGTATTTTTTAGCAACCACTTAAACTATATCTTTTTTTATAGAGAACTTTTAGTCGAAGGGACAGACAAATAAGAATAAAGACACAACCTCTTAGCAATACTTTGTAACATCAGAACTTCTCCTACCAGCACAGCATCTCTCCTTGATTTATTGTAACAGTTTTTTGTTTGTTTGTTTGTTTGTTTTTAATTATACATCAGACTCACATTTGTTTGTTTTGTCAGCAGATGAAATCTGGAGGTGGAGGACGTCGGCGAGGAGGGCAGAGACATCGAGGGAAAGGTCTAAATGCTGCAACGGTTTCTCCAGCTGTGTCTACTGGAGCAACAGGCACAGCTTAAGAGCACAACCTTTAGAGTGTCCTCAACCAGTTATTGTCTTCATCATTGCTCATCATCGCCTCTAAAACCAAGAAGAAATGTCTGACCACCTGCTAGCTGCACCTGGTCCTGTGTCCTGTCCTGGCTTCTTTCTTTTATGCAAAAAAAAGGAATTATTTGAAACATGCGACTCCTGCACCACATGAAGTCAGTGGTCAGATTTATTGGTGTATTTTCCTGTAAACCGTAAAAGATGACACTGATTTATAAATTGATTTGAGTTTGAAGTTGGTGTCAGTTCTGTTTTAACATCAATCTTTTGTGCTTTTCCTGCTCAGCCTTTAGCCTGCCAAACTTTTTCTTTTTATTGCTTTCCTGTGTTTTTGTGGCCATCTTATTGTCACAATCACAACCCATTTAAAAAAGATGCATTTTTTTCAAAATGATTTCTTAAGTTCTTTGAAAGTGAATGCTTAAATTTGCATTCATTTGACTTGAAGGTGAGCGAGTGCCAAACTTTTTGACTCATGGTGATTGGATGTAGCTGCAGTGTTTATTTACGTATTTACTTTGCTACAATTTGACTTGATCTAATGGAAATTGTGTTAAACATAGAAATATTGTGGCCATTTTATGGAAAATGCATTCATGTTTGGAAAAACATATGGGTTTGGGAGTGCCAGGTGTTTCTGCTATAGTTTTAATAGTTTTATACTAAAGCATTTCTGAAAGATTTAGTACATAGTTTTCACAAAAAGAGGTAAAATAAACATTTTGAGTATTTTCTACTTGCATTTTTGCATGTTTTAAATTTTGTAATTCCGTATTTTTGTATTTCATCTTAAAAACGAGGGCAGAGACCCTTGAGYGAAGTTTTATTTAGTTTTCAGTGATAACAATAATTATAAAATGCTTAAGTATAGAAATATTTTACTAGTATGATGCAGAATTCCTGTATGTTAAATACCAACGAAGAACAATTCAATCACATTCTTTGGCGATACCTTTTTCTTTTTTTCCCCCCAAGATAAGTGAATAGGTGTAAAAACAAGTTAAACTTTTGGGATCAAATACATCACAAACTGTCTCATAATCAGAGACCTTGAATAATTATGGTACATAAAATCAATCATTTTGTTTTTTCAGGTCTTTTAGTTATGGGCTAAATTTTATTAGAGTAACTTTATCCCACTGTGTCTTCATGACAACTTGAGAACATTAAGAAGGCAACACAAATTATATTTACCATTTACATTTTTTTCTACTATTGGAATTTGTTCAAGGAAATCAAAGATTGTGTTATATGGATTATGAAAATGTTGAACTGACAATATATCCCCCCCACCCCTTTAGATTGTGGATTAAGTTTTTAGAGGCACATGTATCTTTTTATGTATAAAAATGCAATTTCTGCAAACGAAGTATAAAATAAATGCCAGTGGAGTTGGTTTTGTGTTGTAAAACCCTTTAAATAAAAGATTGTTTTTTTCACAGCATATTTCATGTTCCTTGTGAGTACACCCTTAGTTCATGTTAGCTTTTTTGCTGCTCTGTCAGTTTTTTTTTTTTTTAAATTCAAGTTTTATTTATTTCAAGCTCAAGTCAGTTTTCCGTTCTTGGGTCCAACCTTCCACAACCATGATACATAAATGATGGTTTAAAGGGCAGGACTATTATTGGCATGTACAAGTGGTGAACCCAATAAATCAAGCAGATCGATATTTGTTTGAAATTCAAGTAGATGTGATGACCTCTATCAAGTTTGGAGCTCTGYAGCTTTATTGTTCTCAAACGTGASCCAAACAACAYGGAGGGAGGAAGAAACATTTTTGGAAGCTCAAACCAAAAGATTAAATTCAAGAGGAACATCAACACCAACCTAGTGTGTAAATAACCCATGGCATATGATTATGTAAGCAACTAGAAACTTTGATTTACAAAACCGCAGCTTTTACTTGATTTTTTGTTTTGCTTTCTCTTGTTTCTTTTTATAATTTTATTTTATTTTTGTGAGATTTGGTTGCAATTGAACTCTATTTATAAGTACAACATAGGATTGGGCAAACTTGTGTGCAATTAATCATCAGAAAAACATCTATAAAAATTAATATTGGCCACATTGCAATTAGTGCCACATGACTTTTTTTATTTACCTTTTTTTGTGTGCGTCTCACTATCAAGTGCGTGTTTAGCCTGTGTCATATTGTGTTRCTAAATGTATGCTCCCACTCAACATTGGGTATCAACCCACAGCTACTTTTTTAACCTGTTAAAATAAAATAKTTTAACTGATGATTTGTAAATACAGTTTTAGAATACAGGGTAACTGATTTRGAGTCAAAAGCATGCAAGTGCAATTGTCATATTAATTGTCATTAATCATTATTGGCTAAATGCTACAATTTATTGATTCATTTTTTTGTAAAAAAAAAAATAAGTACATTAACAAACAGTTGCTTAAAAACATACAACATGCATGACATTTAAATGAAAATGTTTAAATAAGATAAGATTTATTGTCCAAAATAAATTTGTCTTGAGTACCGGTACATACTGCTGCATAGTCCATTATCTATAATCATAATACTAATTCACACTTACAAACCCCTTGTAAAATGTATACAGCATAAGAGAAGTAAAACAAAAAAGAAACATGTAGTACAYATTCTAGTTTTTGTTGCTTTTTATGGCTTTGATAGAAAGTGGAACAAATGAGCTCTCATAGTGGTTCAGTCTGCATGCAGGAACTGAGGTGCTGACCTGAAGGGAGAAACTGATACGTTGAATTACAGGTATGAGTGTGGTCTGAGAATGCTGAATTGAAATAAAATGTGTTTCAGGTTTGTTTTGGTGTGTTCATCTACATGACCTAATGCCTCACAAAAACTCTCACATTTTGTTGATTTATGTAAATAGTTTGTTTTGTTTGAATTATTTTTTTTTTTCATAAATACATTCACTGTAGGCTATTCTTGGTAAAAGACATCTACAGCRGTGGTTTTCAAACTTTTTACCTTTGACCCACAAAATATCCATGGCAAAAACTTGTGACCCCAAATATTACTGGTCTGAGT